TTATCTTATTGGTTGCCCGAATGTCAAAAGGAACAGGGCAGAAGTTGTCGAAGGAGGATGAGTTGCTGCTAAAGGTGTGCTTTAATATATGGTTGCTGTTAGCTCTTGTGGAGCTACAGATTTTGCTTTTCTGAAAATGAGAAAGTGTCGAAAATCCATTAACCTGCCATCTGTATAAGTTATATCAGTAAGTGCAAACAGATATTCTAAGGTATTCGGATTTGTTGAATATCTTGACCTCACTTTTGTCTACAGGAATATCAAACGCATCCTAAACTAAAATCTATACATATTCCCTCTTAAATTGATTTTTGTTGAATTATCAACGTGTTCAGTTGGGAGAAAAATGACCTTAATCTTACCACAGTATTCCTATCTGCAATTTACTGTAAAGTGAATAGTTCCTTTTAAAATCGAATTATTACTTAAAGGATTTCTCGGCAGCAGTATCGACAAAAGGCAGTGCATTATTTTATGGGAACTCGACAGTGATTGCTATAGCGCCTCTATATCTTTTCCATGGAATACATCAGATGGAAGTGGCCGACTCATGGATTATTTGGTTAATTTCATCGCTTACTGCGTCCTACCTTATCAGTTTTGCCTACAAGAATATCAAGCACATTCTTAAACATAAGTAACCTTCTTGATGTTTTGTCACAAATTTGGCATTAGCAAGGCAGTCGTTTGCGTTAATTTTTACAGTGAGTTAAGTATAGCAGTTTATGAGTCTCAGTAGTACTTGTCTTTAAAGGTTCAGTTCGTTCTCAGGTTTTCCACTCCTTGTTTGCAGAATTGTTGTAAAACGGAGTGAGGCAGTAACTCGTGAAATGAATCGAAAATTAGCGGATGATAAGAAAATGTCGAAGAAAGAAAAAGATGAGAGAATTTTATGGAAGAAAAATGAGGTAAGTTGTTTGTTAGATTAAATTCTTCTTTATTATTATCCAAAATTTGTTTTAGAATTGAGATGGTTGAAATCAAATATTGTTCTACTACTAAAGTTTGTCAGGCACTGGTTAGTGAAAGATTTCAGGTCGGAGATTACGAGGCAACCACTTTCTCCATCTTCTGGAACAATATTCTTTTCCTTTCACTTCTTCTTATTTTGTCATTCTTCCTGTTTGCCTCCATATCGTCCACTTTTAACTGTCTTTTTTCTATGGTTGGTGCTGCTGGTTTGGTTGCTCTTTTCTCAACTGCCAAGTAATACCATTTTTCATGACCATCGCTGTTTCTTAATAAAATATTCAAATTTGAAAGGAGTACTAAGGGTTATCAATTTTTGCTTTGAAGAGGAAAGATACCCTTTACTTTGTAGTCTGAAAGGATTGTTTGCTTGCATACGGTTTATCCATATGTTGTTGTTGATGTGAATTGCCAGTGATTTCTGTTTAACTGTCTCTAATTTATTCGATAAAAATACTTGCGTTTTTACTAAAATATGTATTAAAGCAGTTGTAAGTTCAAATTTTTAATGTGTTTTTAAAGGTTCGTGTTAGCACCACAGTCACGTTATAAAACCTGAAAATTAATGGAGGGACATTTCTTAATGATTTCAAGAAATTGAGACAAAAGAGCTAGGAATGGTCAGTTCATTAGTTTGATGCGAATAGTGAGTGGACACCATGGATGGTCGAATGTCGCCTCGATTAGAGGAGTCGATAAACAGAAGCGAGAAGAGAAACGCTGTTCCAAAGATGATGCAAAATGGCGATGTGAAAGGTGATGGTAGATTCAAGGTAGCTGTAATTTCATTTGTAAAAATAGTGGCTCAGCAAGTGATTACTTTGTCTAATTTATTACAGAGTTCGAAATAGTTGCTCACTGTTGCTAAAGAAGTTAAAAGCAGTCTCTAGGGCGTTAGCCATAGTGTTTTTAATATGACGTGAGGCTTGGCTGTTGAACACATTCATAGAACGTAACAAGTGCTATCAAGTAAGTTAGCAATAAGCATAGTAATACGTTGAGGTGGTGTTTCATGGGTTCGGTAAATCACAAGTTTACTTAAATGCAGTTTTCAATCTCAGTGATTTAGCAGCAGATATAAAAAAAATGTGAGTTCGCAAATGACTGTGACTGTAAGAAAGAAGGCGTAAGCCTTATTTTTTGGGAACCAGGAAAGTTCTATCAAGACAAACAGTTACAGATCCACCGTATCCCATTGTGTCGTACTGCTCGTTGCCTTGTATCCCATGTTACATCACCAAGCTGCATATGGGTGAAGCCCGTGAACCATATTACGGAAAAGCTGCAAATCCGAGACTTGTGAGTTTATTCCTTCACAAGGATGTGATGAACGTTGTAATACTGAGAGTTGCTTAATCCAAAAACGAAAAGGAAGCACATCAATCTTAGGTATCACGATTGTTGTTTTTAGGAATATATTAATCCCAGCTCCAGTGGCACACGAAAATCGCTATGTGATGGCACCGCTGGAGGAGGGTGTTTACGCTCGGGCTCGAATTCGTGAAATTGATCAGGTTGAGGGTGTTCATTTTAAAAATTTTAGTTGCTTTGCTGTCGAAAGATTTTTCTACAAGTTTGCTCCTCAATTTCAGCGGACAAAATTTGTGAAAGTATTGTTCATCGACGAAGGGACCACTGCTTGGATGAATTCTGCATGCCTTGCAAAAATGGACGAAATATTAGCTTTCCATCCTTGGCAAGCAATTCCCGTCGCATTATTTAAGGTCTTCTTTTTATCTCTTTTAAAAAGCAAAGCAGAGCTCCTTTATTTCTGAGAAACAGCCGGGATTTAGCATTATGCTACCAGAAGATTGCTTAGAAAATGTGCATTAAGAATGGTGTGATCAGTTGGGTTGGTGATTCCAAAGTTTTAAGTTTCCTGTTAGTTTCCGGATTTGCAGGTGAAGCCATATCAGGACATCGTTGTTGGTAATGTACAACCGAAATGGTCGAAGGAGGATACAACAGCTTTGCGAGAAATTCTTAAAAAATTCGAACTTGTTCGTGTAGAGGCAATCCTTAATAGTATTCCCACCAATGATTATTGCGATTTTGTAAAAGTTCGTTATCGTTTTCCTTTTAATTTATCTAAAAAATTATGATTTCGTATCCATTCGCTTACTTTGTCAAATACTTATTAGCTGCTTGAGTTAAAGGTTAATATGTATGGTATGGAATCTGAGTCGGACGAAATGGGTACTTCAATCACTCATTTGTTTGTCCGTGAACGTTTCGGTGAAGTTGATTTTGAACGAGATTTATTTGATGGAATCACACAAAAAATGTTTGAAACTTTTGTAAGTTCATTATTTTCTAAAAGTTCACGTTACCATCATGACCAAGTATTATGAAATGGAGTTTCTTGCTTGTTTTACGATAGTGTCACACGAATGTAATACAATATAGAAACTAGACAAAAAATTGTTTTGAAGGATTTCTGTATTTCTTTCGTTTTTTCCACAGCTTTTCTCTGCAAATTTAATTCGTTTTTTAAAGACAAACAGAGAAGTTCTGACTGTGGAGACTTTGGAAACTTGGCGGCTCAATTTTCCAGGTAAAAGCGAGACTGGAACTGTAATAGAACCCATCTTGAATGAAGCAACCACACACAGCACACAGGTGACCTTATTTTGTTTTGTTTCAGTTTCATTTTTACATTAAGTGTTATTGAGTAGTAATTGCGCTTTACTAATTTTAGATTTCATTAGTGGACGTTAGTTGGTTGAATGAGGGAGGATACTGTCACAAGGGGGAATATTTGGTCAGCGTCGAGGGGAGGTATTTGCATTCAATTTCTTGATAATTTTATTGTTAATAAACTTTATTTAAAATTCACTAGATAATACTTTTATCAATTGCATCTCATTTTACACATCTTTTCTGCCTATCTCTTAGCGTACTTTGAAAATTTCTCAAAAACTGAGTCACTGCTAAATGGAATGGAGCTTTTACTTCAGCTTTATAGGTTTATCCAGTAATGTTCATATACTAATGTCTAATTTTTCAAGGAACACTGTTTCACCCTACGAGTTTTACGCTCGCCCATTAAAAATAGCAAGGTTAAAGGAAGCAGCGCAAGGTGATACGGATACAAAAGGATTTGAAGGTAATAGTGCAGCGGATGATGAAGAGGATGCAATGATTTCAGCAAATGACGAACTTGCCAATTTTGCTGAGGAATTGAACTCATTCTATGGCCATCCCAAAAACAGAAAGCTTATTAGTTCATCCCAAGTGTTTGTTTTCTCTCTTTAACAAATTTCTTGCTTTATTTTCTACCTTAAAGATATATTAATTTGGTTTCTGTTCTCCAGCTGATACTGGTGGCATAATCTTAAAACATTTTAGGATTCCAGAATATTTATAATTTAACCCTAGTTTCTTTCAATTAACCCTATTATTTCTTTATTTGTCCATAAGAAGCTATTATTTTTTCTTTTAAAATAGGGTTGCCATGTTGGAGAAAGGACAACGTATATATGGTATTGTGGAAGTGGACGATGAATTTGCTCAATTTACTGGCTGTTGGCAAAGAGTTGAAATATTAGGCATCAAGGTTGGTTGTATTAGAAAAGGAGCAAGTTCAATATATGCTTTAGGATAAATTAGTACTCCAGTATGTTCACATATTTTTCGTTTTCTGTAGAGTGATAAGTTTTTGTGAATTGCACATTAGCGTTAAATTTTTCAGGATGGTTATTATTCCGAAAGCTTTTTTTGTCGCATACGGTTCCTTGATTCTGGTGGAACTGATGTCCGTTTGTTGTCCAGTATCCTTGAAATAAATCCAATGTACAAAATTTTGTTTGCGAGTGTAGATATTACGTTTATTCATTCATATAATGCAAAGTTCTTTTTATTTTTTACTTGAAAGTTATATCGTGGTCCAGAATCATTCTTAGAGTTTCTTGGTAAATCCTAACCTGTTCAATATTACAGCAATCCTGAACTTGTCCAAATCACGTAGCTTTCCATTTTTTTCCTTCTACATCTTATCTTTTAATTTTCTGTCTGTTAGGCACTGTGTTCGGCCACCTTTTTGCTTACAAATGTGTATGCATGGGTTAGAACCGGTGGATCATTTGGATTGGTCTGAAAAAGCAAAACGGTTTTTCTTCAGTGAACTCCGTGAAGATGTACCAGTCGCTTTGAATATTGTGGGTTGTAACAAAGAGTTGGTTTTTCAAAACTTCTAACCGCAGGAAACTATGAATCCTTTCATTTTCTCATCACTAATCATGACTTTTCAAGCTGCACCACCGATTGATCTTAAAAACATACAGTATCAAACACTTTCTTATCCGGTGGTCGTTAACACTTGGATTTCAGAAATGAGAGTCGCCATTTGTATGACTGTAAACCATTTCAAAGGCCAGGCGTATTGTTTGTGAATTTCATCCAGGTAAATTATCTTAAGAATGAATGAATTTATCAAAATGGAATTATGTATATTGTTCTGCATACATAAATTCATTTAATTTGTAAACACTTCAGGTGCGTGATGGTTCTGTGACAACGTTGGATGCTCGACTTCAAAAGGAGGGACACGCAGTAATTGCCGACCACAGTCCGGTAAAGCTAACAGAATGACATAACACCTGCAGACTATATGGCATTTTTCGCTTGTTTTTGTAAACGCCTTTGAGTCTTTTTTTTTGCAGTAGCAGTTACTTTATTTTATTTTCTTAGTAAAGGAGCAGGACAAACTTTCCAGAATTCAGACGATCTTTTTTATTTAGGAGTGCTTGAAAATTTCCACTGACTAGGCATAAGTAATTCAAATGTATCAAATAGAAAAAAACTAATGCTTTCGGTTCAAAATGAAATTTTTATATGTTTAGAAAGTAAATAGGGGTCTGTAGCGATTCCAGTTTTATTCGTTGCTTGACATTTTACTGGTTATTCTTTTAATTGATGGTTGTGTTTATAGCAGTTATCAGTTTTTTATTGTGAAGTTTTAATTGTGAATATTGAGCTGGAAAGTAACTGAAAAAAGGATTTTTTATATAAATAATAAAACAGTATGTAGTTCATGTTATTAGTCAGTCTGCAATATTGTCAGCCATCAAGTGCAATATCTAGAAGTTGGTCTTTTGGACTTTCTGAAGGTTTCAATTTAAACTCGTTTGCCTATAGCGTAGATTAAAAACCTATTATATTTAATGTTATCGGTCTGTTGAGTTCCATATATTATTGATACAAATATTTTGATTGATTGTAAGCACGTTTTGACAGCACTAAGGATGTTCGATTTTCCAAAAACAAGAAAACAAAAAACAAAAGTTGCTTCAGTGGTGAAGTATAATTCTATGATCAGCAATACGACTTTATTATTAGTAACGTATTCCTATGCAGAATAATTTTGAACAATATTCTACATTATTTGATAATCACTGATCGAAATCCTTGCTTCTGTTTCTTCATAATTCGTCGAAAAATCTTGTATTTTGGGAATTCTTCTTTTCAAAACTTCAACAAATTTCCTATCTTCTTTAAAATTGGTCAAGTACTATATTAATCGTTTTGCTGATCGTAGCATTAGAGATGGCATTACTAGGAGAAGCCTTCATGTCATATCTTGATGTTTTATTATATTTGGTGGACAGGCTAATAGTGACCAATTTTTCAATTTTTTCGTTAACTTCATATTTCCAAGACTTCAATTTTTGTTCTGGAGAGCAGTAGCGAAAATTGTCGGCTGGTAAATTGTTGTGATATTGTTTCTGGCCTTTTCTGTCGCGGAGCAGTGAAAGCATGCCAAAAGGGATCTGTTGTCAAGTAAGCTTTCAATTTAAATCACTTGCCTGAAGTCAGTAAAATGGCGAACAACGAATGTCGGTTTTTTTTCTTCATATGAAGGTTCTATGATACTTTGAACCTGTTGATCCATGCCATTCGGTAGAAGGTATCGTTTAGAACTGTTACAACACTTCGTATTGATACATGTCGGAAATTACTGCTTTCTGAATTTAGGATTTCATTTTTAGGTGTCTTTACAATTCGTGAAGTTCATGCACTTGGAGTCACTCATTTTAATAATATTCCTCTTTTATGCATCAATCGTTCTACTGGATGCAAAGCTGGCAGCTTTATGGAATCTGGATAAAATGAGCACTTGTAGGCTCGGTTATCCGGCTACTGTTTATAACAATTACGGATGTTGGTGTGGCGTTGGAGGCTCCGGAAAGCCCATGGATGGAATTGACAGGTTACATTTCGTTTCACCATTTAGGTCTAGGATTTATAAATCCTCAAGTTTCAGTTTGAAATTTCTCATTCCATTAACCGCACATATCATAACATTTCACAGTATTCTTTCCGTGATTAAATTTTTTGTTGGCTCATCTTAGTACATATAAAATGGTAATAAGGGGTGAATGTCCACATTCAGTGTTTATCTTTTGCTTCTTGCAAGTTTTGGGACACCTTGTTCAGATTTTACCGATATTCTCTCACATACCATTTTTCCTTCGTGATTTTTTAATGTTGAAAAATTAAAACCAAGACTCTCGATTTCATTGCATGTGCTGCATGAAACATGACTTCTGTTACGACAAGGCAATTCGTGATGATGATTGCTATGACACAGCTGAGGAATACCTACTTCCATATAACTGGAAATGTATTCAGGGACAATCCATTTGCTTGAATAATGGTAATTTTAATTATTGCATAGTTGCTGAAGAAACTAATTCAAGTAAGCTATCCGACTCCTAGAATAAGGAAGTTTTCCAAAGGAAAAAAAAATGAAGCTGATTATGATACCGTTTCTTTTATGGCATTGCTCAGTTATTTTTTAAGTGCCCACCTATTTAAAGATTTCATTTAAGAAGTTATTTAAAATACGCGAATGTGACTTTAGATACGCGAATACGCGAAGTCAGATTAAATTATTCTTTCAATTGTCAAAGCACTGGGGTTTTAGCTTCTTGAAGAATATGAATAATTGAAGAGTAATTGCAGCGAAATCAAAATGTGCTAGTGCCGTATGCGCCTGCGATAGCGAGGTGGTCAAATGCTGGGGTCGTTTTGAAAAACCAAAAGTTCATTCAAAATGTATCAAAATGAACATCAACAAATATCATTACCGTCAACCGTCTTTCGATTTCTTCTACTTAATTAATAAGTATTTGGTGCTCGCAAAACGGCCTTGATCCGGCCTAACTAATAATTCTGGCCTAATCGTACATTCTTAGGTCAAAAAGTTAAAGTGGCGAATGTCAGAAGATTTGAAGCTTCTTACCACATCTTTTGCTTACTTTTTCCACTTTCAGTTTGTCTTCATTCACCACACTTTTTCTAATCATAATCGTTTAACTTTAGAATTTCAGGTCATCATCCTCTTTTCAGTTCAAAACATAAATAAATTTCAGGATCATTTACCAATTGCTGCTTAATGTGGTAGTAAGTCATAGAATCGAGTCATAGTCACACATTCACATGTTTCTTTTTAGCTTATAAATCGTCACATCTCTTGCTTATGAATGAATTTTGATTTCCATGTATGAATAAACTGGTATTTATATGATTGAGAATTATATCATATCATAACTGAATTACATGTAATTGAATATAGAATGACCGATTGACTGACAAGTTGGAAATCTCATGCTGCAATTTACATCAATCACTAGCTGTTAGGAGCTGAATAGTGCTAACTTTAAAGTACAATTTCTTTTTAAAATAGCGTCATTTGTCATTGGCCACTTCGACAGTGAAAACCAATCATTGTTTATTTCTAGTAACGTCAAAGCAACTAAGCTTTTTCTGCAGTGGCTCATCAACTGACTCGAAAAATGTTTCCTTCGTTTAGCTATGTGGTTCTGGCCAATTTCATAGTTTTAGAATCATGGCTCAATGAAACCTTTCCAAACTATCATTTGCGGTAGTATTTTGCGAAAAATTTTTATCATTTTTCTGCGTCTGCTGCTATCACCAACTTCCGCAAATAGATATTCGTTATCTTTATCTTCTTTGCCTCCATCCTCCATTCAACATCATCTTAAAGCAACAAGATTCAATTCATTTCTGAAGAAAACTGCAATAGGGAAGTGACAATTCTTTAATTGAACTTGAAATTCCAACTTTTCCGTTTCCACTTATTCTGCACAGACTTTTATTTTTTTGATCTTCAAAAATACTGTGATACCATATTATTCTCCTGATTTGGTTTATCTGAGTTTTGCACATCTTTAAGGATAGACTGTGATAACCGAAGTTTTTTTTCCATCTTTAAGGATAGAGTACTGTGATAACCACATTTTGCACGCAGAAGTCAAAAATTTAAAGGAACACAAGAGATGGGTGGAACTGATAGAAGATTTGAAGCTATAAAATCAAGCTATTTTTAGCTAATTTGTACTATCAAGGAGGGCGGAAAAAGAAGTGCTCTTCACTTTCTTCTAATAAGTCACTATGCTTTTTTATGGGCAAAAATTTTTATAAGCCAAGTAATGAAAAATTTTAATCTGGAAAAAACCATGATTACACCTCCAACATATTACTGCTTCTTTATGAATTATCTTTAAAGCGACTCCGGAAAATAATTTTTGCATAGTTTAGAATTATTTTGTCAAATTCCTGGTTCAGTGGTGCCATTTTCTCTTTTTATCTTGTGTTTTCAGAACTAATCTACCTCTTCAACTCTTTTGGAATTAGCAAAATTATTTCCTTTTTTTCGAAGGGATTTTTTAACTTAAACTTTGACTTTCATTGACTTAAATGAGAATATTTAAAGGTAATAATACCTAAAGTTCCTGGCAAACCTTAAGGGAGGTTGAGGGTTCAGGAATTTTCTAACTTCAGCAGTCACTGAAGTTACTGAACGTTTGACATTTCAGCAATGCTGCTTTACTGCAGTCCTATTTATTCATCAGAAACAGACTGCTTGAAATGCAGACCATTTGCGTGCATGTTAGTGAGCATTATTTTGGATAGTTAATTTTAAAACATTTCTACTAGATAGATTTCTTCAATCTACTAATCAAAGGTATAACTATAAAATCTTTCTTCACATGAAACTTTAACAAAATGCAAACGAATTCAGAACCAGAACTTTTGCTTTCAAATGCTATCAATTCGTTAAATAAATTGACAGTATTGGAACGCAAAGTAAATACCAAAAAAAATTAACTGATTCCTGACTATTTGAACTTTATCTAATTTCAAAAAAAATATGACAATACTTTTTTTAAAGGGACTATGAAAACGCCCGCATCATTCAAAATGGTATCACTCGGAAAGTTTTAATTTAATAAATTTAAATCGTCTCCTGAATCCGTTTTAAGCGTCGGGAAAACTCGAAGTAATGGTAGGCTTCAATATTTTAAAACAGAAATAATTTAAATTTTATACGTATTTTATGTATGAAAATTTTATACAAGCTTTATCCAAGTGCTTCTACTTGCTATAGGGTCAACTCCGCTTCATCCAGCGCTACAGTATCCAACTCTGTTGCATTTAATTATCAATATTTCAGCCATTATCACCATTTACTCCAAATTTCAAAAATAATAGCTTAAAAATTTATTTAGACGAAAATAGTCTTCCTAGACAAATATTTTTCTCAGTCTTAAACAAAATTTTTGCGAACCTTGAACAGAAAAGACAGTAAAAAGATCGACTTAGAGGTAAAACAGATGAAGTCAAAACAGGTAACGGTATTCCAACAATATTTACTTCTCTCGTTCCTTTTCTGCTTTTCTTTTACTCGATTTATTTTTTCCGGTTTCGAAATATCCATTATTTAACTATGCCTAATACATAAGTAACAAAATGACAAAACCTTTGTGTAAGTGATTTGAAGGACAGTGCAAACAATATGTTTGTAAGTAACTGGGAGGATTTGTGACTACACGACGAATTATACGCATTCAGTTTTTGTGAAATCTTCAAATGATTGCCATAAAACTTAACGCATAGTTGACAAAATCTTGTCCTTATCTTATGTGCTCTTACAGCTTTTAGTAAATTTAGAAATTATTACAACATAGTCAACACAAAGATTCAGTTTTAAAATATACACAAAGCTTATAACCTTTTCAATGTTTCACTAATGTGATAAGGACAAGTTGAGTTATACAACAACACATTTCGGAATTTCAAAGTTTTAAAATCAAACCTGAAGTCTTTCAGCTTACTAATTCACTGATCATTTAATATTTCTTCATTTTCGACTAAGAACAGCTGATAGCTACGACTTTCAATCACTAACTTTGTAGTTATGTTGACAGTTTGTCACACTTTCACAAAATGTCAAAGAATAATTTGCGGCGAAATAATGATATTGATGTCCGCTTATGTCTTCAATTTACATAGCACTAGAATTAAATGGATATAAACAAATTTCCTGAAGTGCTAAGGGGCTTTTTGCTCAGTGCCAAATTTTCTACTTCATGTGCTTTATAATTTACTATTACTTTATATATTGATGTATCGCTCTATCATAGAATGATATATTCTGCGACCTTTCAAGAAAATACAATTTAAAAAATCTCATAAATTTGATTGGGAAAGTAATGTTTCAGCGAAGAGTCAAAGAAGTATTTATTTGCGCAGCATTTGTTAAGCAAATAAACGAATGACTTATTTCTTTCCAACTAAGGATTTCATCACTTGTTCTCAGACATTTATTATCTGATCAATTATTTAACTGTTAACATTGGCTCAGTTCATGCATACAATTAGTAGACAAGTACGCTGATACCTTGAAATATATCTCTTTCAAGAATCAGTAAGCAATTCTAAGTTTCTGTTCCTTGACTTTTCATTTACCTTTCCTTTTTCATCCTTTCTTGAATCTCATGAAAATCATGTCAGGAAAATGGACATAAGCAGAACTGAAAAGTACTGATAGAATGATATATTGCATTCATGAGAATTCACCCTACTCACTTTGCATTCATAGACAAAGAAAGATTCTAAATTTGCCAATATTTTCTGATAATTTGATGAAACACAATAATTTTGTTTAATTTACTGCTTAGAAAAAGGAACGAAGATGTCATTTCCCATTTTCTTTAATTGTTTTGACTTTTAAATTCCTCGACAGGTAGTCCAACTTCATCCCATCCCTCCCACTGCTAATTGCATGTCAGCTTCTTTCCTATCACTAAGTTCATTACCGCAAATATGCCATTGATAACTGAAAAGTTTCAGAACGATTTCTTGATTTTCAGTTAGTAATTCTAAGTATTCAGTTGAAATCATCTTCTACTCAGCAGAATTTCCCTTCTGAAACTTTCGTTTCAGTTTTGAAGTATTATCAGTTCTTGTTGTTTTCTTCTGTCTGAATTTGAGTATAGGCGCAAATTTACCGCAGAATAAGCGCAAATCACATATAATGCTGTTCTAACACAGTCAAATTTATGCATACAGCTAATAACAACCATTTATAAATTCTCTTGTTAATTAGTTTATCACGATGACCAAAATCTCGAAGATTTGATCGACTTTTTTTACCAAACAATCGACACTTCGCACTTTGTAAGTAGGAAATATTATTATTCTTGGTCTCTTGATAGTTTTACTACATAGAATTCAGTTCAACCAATGTTTTATTCACTTGTAAACTTCAATATTTCTATATCTGAGCAACTTTATATATTTTTGAGGTCAAACTGAATGGGCGATAAAATTGATAAAATAATATTAACAAATTTCAATTCTCCTATAAGATTTTCTTACTTCGAGAGCTACTTCTTTTATTTAATGAAAAATGTTCAGACATTTGAAACATATATCAAAATGTTGTAATTTTAATGTGAGAAAATAAAAAAAAAAAAAAAA